GAGCAAATGAGTTAATCAATAGTCCTGCCTCAAATAGTGATTTAGCTATTTGAAGACCCTCGCCTGATCTCAGCCCCAGAAACTCTTCCTCCTATAACAGGAGGAAGATAGATAAATTTAGGGGGTAAGAACCAAAAGGCAAGAATGTGTTTGCTCAGGGCCTAATTGCTAAGACAAACAATTCAGACCAGAGATGCATGTGCAGACCTAGGGAAGCAGGATGATTAAGACTGGAGCCTTCTATTATGAATTCTACAAAACCAGTTCCAATTAGGACCCATCAGCCAAGACAAAAGAGTCGTCCTCACGTTGTTAGCTAAAGTATCTGACCATCCAGGACCTTCTAACACTCTCCCTGCTTCTTCAGTAAAAACTGGGACACAAAGAAGTTGCTGCTCTCCTCTCTAAAAGGACCCACTCTCTCCCCTTGAGGGTGCTCCCCCCTTTTTCTCTTCTAGTAAACTTTGCTATATTTTTACCAAGTCTCCTGTCTTGCTTGAAATCCTCTCATTTGAAGACACAAGAGCCCAGAACACAACACAGTCTCCAATAAGATCTGACCTCAGGTATCATCTTACCTCCATTATCAGCCTCCAGAGCCATTTTGCCTTGGGATGAATCCTGTGTGACCACAGACAACTACCTTCTCAGCGATTCAGTTTCCTCATCAGTATTTTAGATGTAATAACAATCCAGTTGTCCCTTGGCATCTGTATGGGAGGTTCCAGGACCCACCCCCCCATGAAAATGCTTTGAGATGCTCAAAGCTTCTTATATGAAATGGAACAGCATTTGCATGTAACCTATGCACGTCTTTCTGTCTACTCATCCCCAGCCCCTTCCTGTTACTTCAATGATCTCTAGATTACTTCTAACACTAATGTAATGTAAATGCTAGGTAAATAGTTGTCATACCGAATTGCTTTAGAAACAACAGTGAAGAAAGTCTATATCTATTCCATGCAGATTCAATTTCTCTAAAATATCTCAGGACCTAGAAACAATTTTGTGTTAGTGCATCTTACTGTCTTTAGCGTGCTATTTTGAACTTGACCTGTTGTTTAATAGCTGTTTCTAAACATCTTGCAATGACGGTCCTTCATCTAGGGCCCCTGCCCAGGGCCAAAATAATGCTCCACCCCCAGCAGAGTCTTCAGTAAATGCTCACTGATTCCCATACCAATGGTTCCGAATTCAAGGCACGTTCTCCACCAGAATATTTAACAAAGATCATCTGCCCTCATTCGTAGATTCTCCCCCTCAAATGCCAGCATCCTCTGCCGGGGGGCGCTGGGCTAGAGCTTCCCACCATTACAAAAACACTGCATCTATGCCATGGTCTGTGTTGGGTAGGATCTGCTGCTGCTACCTCTTGGCTGCGTTGACAATTGGAATCTTCCAGATTGTTCCTTGTGTGCTTATAACCCGTCTTTGGAGTAATACGATGTGGGTGGATGCCATTTATAGAAGCACATGGACCCATCGGCCCACGCCTCGAAGGAACACTGGCTCTCCCCTCTCCCTGTGGGTCTTGCAGAACAACACGTTATGTCGGTCTGTTCAGGGGAGAAGAGAGGAGAAAGGATGTCATTCAGCCTAAGGACGTGAAGGAATGTCAGCGTACAGAGCCAGCCCTGAAGAGAAGTCAGCAGCACCGTGTCCTGTAGGCTCCCTGCTTCCCTCTCTGGACTTGCTCTTCGTTCCACGGGGTCCCTTTTTGGTCAGATGCCACTCCCTTCGTGTGGTCTCAGTACCTGGTCCACTAAAAAGACAGATCCTTCTCCTCCCAGGAAGGGAGCACAAAGAGACTGGTTCAAATCCTCGCCCCTCTCCTTCCCAGGGGCCCGAGCTCGTGCCATGACCTCTCTTCTCATAGGAAACAGAGATGGGGACGATGGAGATGGCTACCCTTTCAGGTGCAAGTGATTGAAGAGCTGACTTGCGTGGGTTTAACCAGAAAGGGACACTTTTTGACCCACAGGGTTAACAATCCACAGCTGGGGCAGGCTGACGGACCTGGGTCAGGGCCTCAGGTTCTTACGACAGCTCTGCTCTTCGGCCTCAGCCAGGGTGACAGCTGCAGGCTGGCTCTCTTCACAGTCAGAATGGCTTCCCCAGACAGAAGGCCACTCTTAACCACCAACTAACCGTGAGCACGGAGAAGGTTACATGCTGACTGGCTTGGGCTTGGGGTCCTAAGCCCCATCGCTAACAAGGAGGGGCAGGATTACTCTGATTGGTCTAGAGGCCAGTGGCTCCCAGGCTGGAGCGCGATTCTGAATCACCTGAAGGAGTTAGTCATCACAGGTGACTGGGCCTCAGTCCTGGGGCCTCTGATTCAGCCTAGAGAATTGGCCTGTCTAAAACGCCCTGCTGTGACACGGGTGCTACTGGACAATGCTTTGTGAGCGGCTAGCATGGACTAATTAGGGTGACTGGCAGACGGGGATCAATTCCCCAGAATGCACAGCGAGAAAGGGGTGGAATGGATGTCAGAGAGTTGACGATAAGATTGGAAACCTTTCAGAGTAAACATGGGGATTGTTTCAGTAAGCTCTTGCTCTGTAACAAGACACCCTAAAACTGGAAGTCTTTAAATAACAAGTTTGATACTGTTTAGGATGATTCTGTGGATTGGTTGGGCCCAGATGGGAAATTTTCACTTGGAGTTTCCCAGGCAGTTAGAGTCAAATGTCAGCTGGACAGGAAACACCCAAAGATCATGTCGAACAGGACGTTCAAAATGGCATCTGTATTCGCCTGCCTGGTAGGCGGTATGGGATGGACAGAATAGCTAAGGGTGGACCCAGGGTGTCTTCCCCGACTCAGCTACTCCCAGTGGCTACATGGGCTTCCTGGCAATATGGCAGCCTCAGGAGAGATGGGGTTTTTTATAGGGCAGCTGGCTCTCTCCAGAAGGAACATCCTGAGAGACGAGGCAGAAGTAGTAAGGCATCTCCTGATCCAGCTTTACAAAAGCCCCAGGGCCTCACCTCTGCCCCATTCTTTTGGTGATAGGTGAGTCATGGGGCAGCTCCGTTTCTAGGGGAAGATTGAACAGAAGGCAGGACTATTCAGAGGCTGGGGTCCCGGGGAGGAGCTGCCACAGGGATTAAAGGAGATCATTCCTGTAAGCTCTGTGTAGGAGGGAAAGTAGAGCCCTCATCATGAGTAAGTGCTCAGGAAATGAGCGTTATGACCATCGCTATCCTTTTCAGGGGAACTTGCTTATTACCCTTTAATCTGTTATGGTGGAGTTTAAGACTTTCTCAGCCAGTGAAGGATTTTCAGGCACTCTTCAGCAGGCAAGGAGGTATTTTCTTGGAAAGGGATCTTTCTAATGTTTCCAAAACTAGACATACATACAAGTAACTATTTCTTCCATCAGGAGCAAGACCTGTATTTTTTTTTTTTTTTTTGGTACTAGGGATTAAACTCAGGGTTGCTTAACCACTGAGCCACATCCCTCACCTTTGTGTGTGTGTGTGTGTGTGTGTGTGTGTGTGTGTTTGTGTGTGTGTGTGTGGGGATTGAACTCAGGGCCTTATACGCAAGGCGAGCACTCTTCCAACAGAGCCGAGCCATATCCACAGCCCCACATTCCCTGCCCTTTCTAATTTTTATTTTGAGACAGGGAAGGGCTAAATTACCTGGGACCTGGCTGAGTTGCTGAGACTGGCTTTGAACTTGTGATCCTCCCTCCTGCCTCAGCCTCCCAAGCTGCTAGTGTGATTACAGGCATGTGCCACTACTCCCGGCCAAGACCTATACTTTAAAGTACGCCTGCTGTCGGTTGAAAGACGAACCTTTTCTATTGGTTTCCATGTGGCTCTTTTATTAGAAGTCGCCTTTTGGAGAGAGACGGGCTGATTTTACTAATACTTTTGACAGTGCTTCCTATGGCATAGCAATACTTCCGTAAAAGTACTCAAGTGCCCTTGTTCACACTTCAGCGGTGGAAAATCTCTACAACAACTCACCAACTTGTTCGGGATCACGCTCATTCCGCCACCTCTGTTCTAAGGACAAATATGCCTTCCAAATTTCAAGAGTCCGATGCATCACTTCATTTCAGAATGGCCTCCCAGTGGAATGATCTCTCTCTCTCTCTCTCTCTGTCTCTCTCTCTCTGTCTCTCACACACACACACACACACACACACACACACACACACACACACACGGCTTCGTATGCACTGGTGGGCTTCCTTTGATTTTTCTGCAGAGTGTCAGGGTGAGTTGGGTCTTGATCCCCCCTTGTGACACAAAGGCTGGAGGGGCTTTCCGCTCCTGTGGGGGAGGAGCGGGTGTGAACCGTGAGAAAGCTCAGCTGGCTCCTGGGGACGGAACCAGCCGAGCCTGGGGAGCCCAGGATCTGTGTGCTGAGGCAGGCCTGCCAAGCTCTGATGTGTTTGGACTTGAACTTGGAGGGGAGGTTGCACCCAGACGAGCTCCTGAGATCTGTGCTGCAGCGTGAGTGGGCCGGGGTGCTCTCGCGGAGCTATTTCTGTAGAGAAAGCTGTCTGGAACCATCTGAGAAGCCGCTAACCACTGTGGCTCCCTGAAACATGCCTCCCATCCACTCTTGCATCATTTTCCCTCCGTTTTATGCCTGAGAGGACGCCTGTGTGTGTACAAGTCTAAGTCTGTGTGTGTTCCAGAGTCGTGTTGCCATGGAGAATTATTTGGAAGAGGCGTCTGATGAGCCACTTGCACTGAACATATGAAAATGCATCTCAAAAATCAAAGCTCTTCTCCTATATGCACAGACACTGGAAGGAATCACAAGAAAATGGGTATCAGTAGTTGCCTCTGGAGAAGGGCACTGGGGAGAGGGGACAGTGACACGAGGGAGACGACTCTTCACTGTGTCCTGTTCATTTTTTTTTTTTTTGACCATAAGCATGTAATACTTTTTTTTTTTTTTTTTTTTACAAAAGTATTTCATTCTCACAAAATGAAAAGAGAAGCTTAAATGCCAAGGCTTCCCCCCTGGGAAATATTCCTAGACACAAATATCCCCCTTGAACCCACACTCAACTTCCCAGGAGGAAATTGGGACTCTCCAAACAATCACGGGCTGCCTTTGAAGAGGGATCCACCTGGCTCCTTGGATGTGTGCTCCATATTCTCAGGGGCACGATGTTCACCCCCATCCCCGAGAAGGGACAAAGTACGCCGAGAAGAGATACTATTCCGTTTCTAACGCAGGGTGGGTTAAAGAGTGATCGATGGCGACTGCCAACGCATTCTTTCAGGCCGCCTTGCAGACAAGATGCAGCTGGTGGTGCCGGGAGCCTCGTGCTGGTTGCAGAGAGCTAAGCCCGCACCCCTCATTTCCACCTGGGGTGGCTGCTGATCCAACAGCACACGGCTCACCGGGTTGGACAGGGAAGCTTCCTACCCAGTCACGTAGAAGAATATTAAACGTTTTCACAACGTGTCCACACATGTTTTGCTTCTCCAAGAGATGACAGCTCCGACTTCAGAAACCGTGGTGACCTTATTTTGTGACTTTGTGTTCTCTTTGCTGAGCCCATGACCCACTTGCAAAGCAAAGGTGCAAATTGCCAAGTGAACATCCCCAGCAGCGGTTCCTTTTCTGTTTTTCACTCTGCTGGAAATCTGTTGAAATAAAGAGTGTCAACACAGCACCTCTCATTGACTTTGCTTCCGCATTCAGTGCGGGCTAACTGGATTGAACTGGACAGCGTTCTATTCATTGGAAATCATTAGGCAGTTCAAGAGGGAAGAAAACGGAAGAGAAAAGAAAACACATCGCCCCATCACAAAAATAACTTGAGAATCGTGCAGTCTGCCAGCATATTGGATATTTGTGTTGAACTTGCTTTCAGTACTCGGCTAAATTTACCACACCCTACCTCCAAAGCCCTTGCTCCCTTCCTTTTGAATAGCAAAGGAATGAGAACTAGAAAAGCTTTTGTGTCTTTGGCAAAGTTGAATGTCACTGTTTCCACTAAATCCTGTAAAGGTGAGGATGCCAGAGGGAAGTCCACCGATTCATTTCGCTTTTGTTACCTGTTCATGAAAAGCTACCTTCTGGGGGGGGGGGCGAGACCATGTTTGATACGAGATCCTGCCTGAACTTAGTATATTTGGCTGACTATATAATTTTAGTGAACAGATTATCAAGTTGCTCAGATGCATATGGAAGGACCACGGGCCTTCACGCCACGCAGAACGGTTTCCCAAAGCAAATAGTTTTGCTGTTGTTGTTTTGGTTTGGTTTGATTTTTTTTTTTGCAGATGGAGCCACCTGGTCTCAAGTTTCCTCCTGAGAACACGCGCTTCCCCACTGAACACAAGGCGCAGGGGTCCAGAGAACTTTCAGTGCGGGAGACTTTTACTGACGGTCCGCTAGCTGTCACACACTTTTCTTGCGTCTTCATGTCTTGTTGCACACAGCTCTGTCCGGCTGACATCCACTTGGCTCCGCTGGGAAGAAGCCACGGCACAGGGAAGGGAGTGGCCGGCCAGGCTGCCCAGCTGGTAAGTGGCAGAGCTGGGATTCACCGCCGGGCTGTTCTGGCTCACGTGCCCTCTCTGATGGGAAAGATCAAGGTGTGGCTCCTAGCTTGAATCTGGCTTTCTAGGGGGCTGGCCAGACTTGGGTGGGACATCCCTGAGGGAGGAGCCTTGGATTGGGGAGTGTTTTAGGAACCCACAAGACAAGTGCCTTTGAAGGTTGGGAGGTGGGGTTCCTGCTAGCCCGACAGCAGGGAGGCAGGAACTGGGCTCTAGGGGGCCGGATTGCAAAATCCAGAAAGACCAAGGAGGAGATCCCTGAGGTGACCGTCAGGAGGACACCATGAAAGCCATGAATGTGGTGACTCAGAACCAGAGGAATCGGGGAAGAAGCCATGGGTTAAAAATGACTGTCCTAACGGCAGGAGCTTCATCACAGGGATGTAGCAGCAGTCCAGAGACTAGACTCGGGTTCCAGAAGCAGCCTGTTTTGCTGCGAAGCAGACAGCTCTTTTAGTTGTTAGGCAAAGAGTGGGGAACAAAACACAGGTCTCTCTCCTTATGAAGCTGGAGCGCAGTGAGAGGGAAAAGAAAAAAGGGAATCGGTGCCCAAGGAGGATATTACTGTAGAAAAACTTCAGGTGCCTAATGCAGAGCGTGGTCTGGTGACGATGGTGGTGTTTGCTCTTTTATGAAAGGTCATTGGGACAGGCCACGGATTGTGGGATGTTTGAGCAGAGACTTGAAAGAAGGGAAGGTGCAGGCTTTGGGAACTCGTGGGAGAAGAGCTCTGCATGAGAAGGAACAGTCAGGTCCCAGGTGGGATCCCAGAAAGCACTTCCAAGATGGCAGTTGGCCTACCGTCAGGGGATCTCGGGATCCTGTTGTGGAAGAGAAAGGAGGAGAGGGAACCTCGACAGAGGGAGAAGCTGTGAGAGTTCTGGTGAGTGCCCGGCAGCCACACGGGGGACTCTGACCACAGGGTGGCCCTACAGAGCTGTCGCTTGCTGGGGAGACGGGCATTACCCACTGGACGGGGCTGTCACGGAGGGGGTAGGATGGGGTGTCGAGGGAAGCAGCTCTCCCCACCAAGCCCATCCTTGGCCCCTGAGGGCCGCCAGCCAGAAGCACCCCTCGGTCCCTAAAGGTCATCTGGGCAGTTCCTGCTGGCGTGATTGGGGCAGAGTGGGTGGGGGGGGGACAGAAGGGGAGCTCAGAAGGGGACTCAGAAGCCCTCATCGTCCACAGTAAGGACATGGGCTCTGTCCACCTGGCGGGGGGCATCAAACACAGGAAGGCTAAACTCCCACTGGCGTTTTCACCTGGTCACTGGGCAGCTGTGACGGACAAGGGGAGAAGGAGGAAGGCTCTCTAGGAGGTAGTCTGGGAAGAAGAGCTGACGATGGCCTAGGTCAGAGCGTCCCTGGGGCGCTCAGGAACAGCCCTGGGATTCCGGTGCTCTTTGAAGGTAGAGCAAATAGGAATTTGCCAATTCCTTAGATGTGGGGTGTGAGGAAGAGGGAAAACAGGGCCAACTCCAATGTCCCTCTGGAGCTGAAGGATGGAGCCATCATCACGGACATGGGGAAGACAGTGTGTATTTGTTCTCTGTTGCTGCTGTAACAAATCACCAGAAACCCAATGGCTTAAAAAGCATGAATTCATTCTTCGTGCTTCTGAAGGTCAGAAATCGAAAGTCAGGGTGTTGACCGGGGTCTATTCCTTCTGGAGATTTCGGGGGAGAATCCTTTTCTTTATCTTTTCTAGTTTCTAGATGCCGACCAAACCTTGGCTCTTGCTCTTTTCTCCATCTTCAAAGCCCATCTTTCCAACCTCTCCTTCTGTCATCACACCTAATTTGACTCCGATCCTCCCGATTTCATAAAGACCGTCCAGGAGGATCTGCTCATTCCCAAGATGCTCAAATAAATCACATCTGTAAAGTCCCTTTTGCCACGTAAGGCCACAAGTTCATGGGTCCTGGGGATTGGGATGTGGACCTCTTCAGGCGTCGTGATTCGCACTGTGCAGAGAGCTGGTTCTCAAGGCAGGTCGAAAGCTCATTCCTTGTTAGAGGTGCAAGTGGAGCCTTCAAGTTTGACCGAAGAGAGGTCACTACTAAAAAGTGAGTTTGGCAGTTTTCATGATTTCTTCAAAACCCAGTGACAGTGATACCACCTCGCTGCAGCACAGGATGAGGATATTCCAGTGATTGGCAACTGGAGAGATGAGGGGGAGCCACAGGGTGACAAGAGAGGAGGGAGCAGAGGCATGGGGGATGGTGGTCCAGAGGCCACAGGAAGGTCAGGATGGAGCTGAGCAGAGCCCATTGGGTTTGACTGTGAGCTTGACAGAAGCAGCTTGGGAGATGACAGTCTGATTAAAATGGAGTCGAGAGATGGGGTCGGGCAGGAGACAATGGGTGTGGACGACTTTCTGAGGAGTTGTTGGAAAGAGGAGCAAAGAGATGGGGCAGTAGTTGGAGGCCATCAAGTCAAGGTCTTCTAGGGCAGCTCTGGCTGAGCCAAATCCGTAGGTGCTACTGTAGTTTGGATAAGGATCCCCTACGGCCCATTTGTCAAAGGCTGCTTCCTAGTGCCGGGCACTACTGGAAAGCAGTGGAACTTCTAAGAAAGGAAACTGGTAGAAGATCTGGTCATTAGGAGCATGCTGTTGGAGGGATGTTGGGACCCCAGGCTCCTCTTCTTCCTATTTTTTTTGAATGTCCTGGCCATGAGGTAAGCTCTCTTGCTATATGCTGCTGCCAGAATGAGCTGCTTTGCTCAGGCCCAAAAGCAACTGAGCCAACCAATCATAGCCGGAAACCTCCAAAACTGTGAGCCTAAGTCATCCTTTTTTTCTTTATAAGCTGCTTATCTCAGGTATTTGTCACAGTAACAGAAAGCTGACTAACAGGTGGGTACAAAGGGCCCAATTGAAGGTGAGAGATTAGAGGCTTATCAGAAGGCTTAGCAAGTCCTGGTGTGGTGAGTAGAGGGAGGGGAAGGGAGAAAAGGAGATGTGCTTCTGTTTATCCAATGAATATCTCCCTACGGATTTTATTTTATTTTGAGATGACATCTTTCTAATGTTGCCCACGCTGAGTTTGAACCCCTGGGCTCAAGTGATCCTCCCACCTAGCCGCCAGAGCATCTGGAACTGCAGGCACACACCACTGCACCTGGCACTAGTGAAGATTTTTAATGCAAAAAAAAAAAAAAAATCTCCTCCAAATATCACTGTGTGGTGAGAATTTCCCGTGTATCAGTTTTTCCAAAAACAGGCATAATTATGCTTTTAGTTCTCCATTCCACCTAATACAAAGCTAAGTGCAATTATATAACATTTTCTTCAAAGCATCACCAACTCTTTTTTTAACTGAGGCCATCAGAACATGACTGTGGGATAACAGAATGGCATGTCGTTTTCAAAAGCTGAAACGTGGAGCCGGAGAGTTATTTTCGAGATGTCACTGAACGAGTGTCCGGCTGAGCCTGGCCACGAAGCAAAGGGGATAGGAATTCAGGGCCACAAGGCCAGGTGCTCTCAGGACCCCAGGGAAATACACATCAGGAGACAAAAACAACAGTTTCAAGGATTGGGGGAGGGCTTTGAGAAATTAAAGATCACGTGGTGGCGCACACCTGTGATCCCAGTGGCTCAGGAGGCTGAGGCGGGAGGATTGTGAGTTCAAAGCCAGCCTCAGCAACTTAGTAGGGTCCTAAGCAACTTAGTGAGACCTTGTCTCAAAAGTATAAAAAGTTCTGGGGATGTGGCTCAGTGGTTAAGCATCCCTGGGTTCAATCCCTGGTCCCCCCCCAAAAAAAAAAAGAATATAAGCATCTCATTAAAGAAGGTGCTATTGAAGCCATTACAAATGCTTCCTGAGCAGGGCCAATCGTGTGGCAAAGCTTAACAGTAATGTAAGATTCTGTACCCTTCCAGGCCCACTGTGCTGAAGGTCTCTGATGTGTCAGATTGTCCCTCCTCTGGGTCTCTGATGACCATTCTCAGAGACACCATGCACTAGTGAAAGCCTACGTGAATCTGCAAATCGCCCCGGGCCACGTGGTCTCCACCTCTCTCACCTGGCTTGTTTTTCTGCGTGATTCCTCTGACATTTGTCCACACTTGCCTCTCTATGGACCGACCTCCTCTTTCCCATGAGGACAGGGAACCTGTTTTATGCACTGCTGTCTCTCCAGAACCTGGACGAATGCCTGATGAGTCCTGGAGGCTTGATCCTATCTGCCAACTGCAAGAGTGAATGAGCCCGGTCAGTCGACGTCAGCGTACAGGGAGGGGGAGGGCAAGTGGCCAGGCTGTCCACTTGGCCCCTCGCAGCCCCGCCCAGCGCTCCCAGGCCTCCAGGTAAGAAAAAGCCTCCTGACTTCACCTGACCTCCTTTCCCTTCTCTTTCTGGAGCTCAGATAGGGTCTCCTGACTTGTCCTCAGCTCTCTGGTTTTGGTGCACCTGCGGTCCCCGCTCTCCTCTCACTTTGGCCAGGCTCTGACTTTCTGGTCCATCTTGGATGAAAGCAGTCCCATAGCAGGCATCCTGTCCACACACTGCCCTCTCCAGCTGCTGCTCTCCTTTGGCTCTGGGCTGCCCACAGGAGCCTCAGTCCCCCGCTTTATAGGTCAGAGCATTTCAGCAGCGCCATATGCAATTCCTGGACAGATGCTCTCCTGCTTGTTATTCGTCCTGGGGGAAATGTCGTCAGAAAACTCACTCCTCACATTAAATGTAGGAGTCCCTGGGTATCTGTGGGGGATTGATTCCAGGAACACCCCTAGGGATACCCAAATCCAAGGATGCTTATGTTGCTTCGGTGAAATGGTGTCGGATTTGCATATATGTGCATCCTTCCATCATACTTTAAATCACCTCTAGATTATTCATAATACCTCACACAATGCAAATGTTATGTAAATAGTCGTTATATTACATTGTTCAGGGAATTGGGACAAAGCAAGTCTGTACATGATCAGTACAGGTGCAAAATGTTTTTGATCGTTTCAATTCATGGTTGTTTGAATCTACAGATGCAGAATCCATGGATACGGAGGCCAGCTGGAGTGACCACCAAAGGTTTCCTGCAGATAAAATGTTCAGATAATCGTTTCTCTTTGAGAAGCACTTTTGATGTGTTAGAGATGGCTCCCAAAACTTCCCATTGCTTTACGGAGAACTTTCTGGGTAGGATTTTAGCTGCCATGTTTCAATGAGGTTCGGACCAAAACACCTGCAGAGGATGGAGTGGTGGGAAGACTTCAGAAGGTTCCACATCATTGAGCAGCTCGGGTATTCAGCTGCAAAAGGAATGGAGAAAATCAGAGCAAAGGGCGTCACCCTCTGAGGCTGTTCTGACAATAAGGTCTGCTTTCTTCACCATAATCAAGACAAGACATGGCTTGTGCCTTCCTAAGAATGCCTGGCTCCAGCACCAAGCCAGGCACCCAGCTCTCCTGGGCCTGCTGGAGTCCCAACAGGTTTCCCCCCTCCCAGAGGCATCCAGGATTGACACACATCTTATGACTTGAGGCCCTGGGCTCATCCTTTGTTAAAACATCCTTTGCTTCCTCCTTGACAACAACAGATACAACAAATACGAAGACCAGTGAAGGTGCCCTTGCAAGTCACTGAGGAGTTAGGGAGTCCCAGTGTTAGATGGTAGCTAGCAATGAGCAACTGGACCTGCAGGCGAGGTCACAGGTGTCCTTTAAATTACTTTAGAGTCTTCTTTAAACTACTTCCAAAGTAAACAAGGAAGCAAAGTGTGATAGTCAATTTGTGGAAAAGAAACAGAAGCAAAAAGAGCTAATTGGGAGATAAGTCAAGAGAAAGGATTCATGGGACTAACTCTTGACAGGGTCCACTGGTGTTGATGTGAAGCTGGGAATTATGGCTATAGGTGTCTCCATTTGTCTGGGGAGGAAGAATCCTTCTCTCTCTCTCTCTCTGTCTCTCTGTCTCTCTCTCTCTCTGCTGGAACCTCTTGCAGCTAGGCACAGTCTACCACTGGGCTCCATCCCCAGCCCCTCTCTTCATTCCTGTATCTCCAGCTTACAGCGTGGCGCTGGGCACACAGAGGTCTGATAAATATTGGTTGGATGAATGAAGGAATAAATGAATGAATGAAATTTTAAGAATGATCTTTGGCAACAGGTAGGTCTGCAACTTCAAGAGATGCACAGGACCTCTCCAAGCCTCAGGAGTCCAGCCCGGGGGTGTAAAACGAGGATGAGGACAATACTGCCCTCAAGGTTGTTTTCAGACATGAGATGAGAGCCAACCCGACACTCGGACACACTTGGCATCCGGCTCGCGGTACAAGCTCAATGCAGCGGCGGTCTTATTTCAGTCTCTCATCTATCTTCCTGGATCACAAAGTCAGGATCCAAACAGAAGGAACTTCTATCTTTTATGTGTCTAGCGCACTGCAGTCTGGTATTACATAATTATTTGCTTTTAGTTTCTGTAGGCATATGCTTCGTGATGAAAAGTGGGATTAAGCTGTTAGGTAGAACTGGACGTAGGCAACACCATTTTGAAACATGTCCTTCATCTTGGGAAAGAGTCACCTCACCGTCACTGAGTCAGCCTGACTCAACCCTAGGCATACGGCCTCACTCTGCAAAGAAACCCCAAACTCTCCATCCAAATTGTAGAAAGGAAATTGTTATCTGGGACTGAGGTCATAAAAACACCTAGTTCCTTATGAAGGTGACACTCTTAGGTCCTTAAGCCAAGGCAACTCCATTTTGAAAATCAGCGCCCGGCCACCCAGGCATGCCCTTCCTGTTAGGACCCCAAAAGCGTCCCTAACTCCAGAAACCATAGCAAAATCTCACAGGACCAGACAGGTTCTTTTTAACCACTCCATTGTACTTGACTGTATAGGTGAGAAGTTTCTCCCAGCAGGCGCTGCACCCCGCAGAAGGGCAGTCTGGCCAGCATTCTCTGACAATAAACCTTTGCTTGAACTCAGAGATGTGTCTCTCGGGGATATTTGCGCCAGCCACCTTAACAGCCAGCACAAGGACTCTTCCCTGACAGCCCCAAGGCCATGGCCTCCTCCCCCTCCCCCACTCCCCACGGTCTCCGTGTGCACTGGACGCCCCTCCACAGGTCTGTCCTGAATAACCCTGAGTTACTGTTGAGCTGTTGTTCTCCTTTTCCTTTATTTCCTTCATTTGCTTCTTTCCTTACATTACACTTTCTAAAGTGGTTTATCAGTAATAAAGTGCTACCTTTTTTTATGATTTTGTTTGTTTGGGTCCTGGGGAGGGAGCTCCGTGGTAAAGTGCCTCCTGGGCTGCGTCCCCAGCTCTTTTCATTTTTGAACTTTGAGACAGGGTCCTGCTAAAGTTTGGTAAATGGTTGAGGCTGGCCTCTTAAAACTTATGATCCTCCTACCCCAGCCTCTGGAGTTGCTGGGATTATAGGTGTGTACCATCTTGTTCAGCTATCATTTCAATTTGTGTGTGGTTTGTGGATTGAACCCAAAGCCCTGTGCTCGCTACGCATGCACTCTACCAGATGTCGCTCCCGGGCATAACCCTATCAGACCGACAGGGTGGATAGGAAGAGGGTCTGCGGAGAAACCACGTGGGGGCTCAACTGCATGGGGGCTCGAATTGCATGGGGCTTATGGCAGAAAGCTAAGGGCTTGGGACAGGAAAAGGGATTTTTAGAGTCCCTTGTCCCAGTGGAGTTGATGGGGGAAGTGGCTGAGATCCAGGATTGGCCAGGAGACCCTGCTGATTGACAGGCGGTTCCCTCGGTGCCCCGCGGGGCTGCTTGGTGCTTTGTTCCTAAGTCACCGCCACCGACCTGACACTTTCTTGTTGAAAATTTGCTAATTTCCTGACTGTAAACTACTGCTATTCAACCAAGACGGATCTGATAAACAAATTCACATCAAAATGCTAATGGATGCTCGTTATGTGGGTGGGCTAAAATAAGGGTCTGGGTTTCACAGGCTTCATTTAGGGTGGGACAGGAGGGTAGTTCCTAAGGTTCATTGTCTTGGGGTGAGCTGATCCGTTAGCACGGGACAGGAGGCCTATTGTGGGGGTCAGCTGGCCCATGGGGAGTGGGGCCGGTGCCAGTCAGGCCCAAGTTCCCTGGTGCTCCTTCCTTCTGGCTGAGGCCTGGGGTTTTAAATGACAAAAGCTTCAATTTTAGCCCAGGGCCGGTGGGGTAACAGCTGCAGGAAAGGGAGGTGTTCTTGGGACTCAGTTCTCCGTGTCCTTCAGATGATACTTGTATTTTTGTAGTGCTGGGGCTGGGCCTGTTTGGCACTGCCTATAATCCCCGCAGTGCGGGAGGCTGAGGCAGGAGGACTGGAGTTCAAAGCCAGCCTCAGCAATTTAGCGAGGTTCTAAGCAACTCAGTGAGACCCTGTCTCACCATAAAATACAAAACTGTGAGAAACGGATGTGACTCCATTTTTGAGAAACCAGCCTCTACCTCAGAGCAAAGCCTGTCCAAGGAAGGGGGCGTGACCCTTGTCCTTAGAAAGACCCACAGAGCACTCCTAGGCACATGCCCACCCTGCTGAGTTGTTTATCTACAAATAACAGGAGAGATCTGCTCTGCCAGGTGTCCCTGACTCAGTCAGGCTAGGTAGGGATCCATAGCAACCCCCTAGCAGCCACCAATCAGCAAGAGACAGGGAAATACCTGGGAGGCCAGATGACCCCCCCAGTAGATTATGGTGGTTGATAACATGTTGGGAAACCACATAGTTCAGCACGTGCTCACCTCACGGCTTAAACCAATCAGTTCAAACGAATACCCTCTTGTATTAGCCAATCACTCCTACCCAACTTGTTCCCGCCAGTGAATGTGCTGATCATGTTTTAGAGCTGTTTTATGATTTTCCCGAGGTGTGTGATGACTTGCTAAGAGATGCTATGATATATGTGGGGTCCCTGCCTTCCCCAAAGAGTGTATAAAACTGCTGCCAAGCCTGGGCTCGGGGCCTCTCAGCGTCACCAGTTGCTGTGTGTGTGCCCGCGGAGGACCAAGCTAGTTCGCAATAAACACCTCTTTGCTGCTTACATCAATCTTGGTCTCTGGTGGTCTTTTGGGGGTCCCTGAACTCGAGCATAACAATAGGGCTGGGGGTGTGGCTCAGTGGTCGAGTGGCCCTGAGTTCAATCCCTAGTGTCCCCCACCACCACCACCACCAAAAAAAAAGTAGTAGTGTTAGGGATGGGGGTGTAGCTCAATGGAAATGTGTGCATTTCGCATGCACAAGGCCCTGGGTTCAATCCCTAGCTTTCGGGAGGGAGGAGTAGCGCTAATGGTGGAACTTTAGGTAGACAAGTGTAAACTGTAGGGTAGATATTTCCTGAGGCTTTGCTGTTTATAAATGACCCCTGGACAGGTAGCAGTGAGACGGGGTGGTGGTTAGAAATGTAGAATCTCAGGCCCTGCCTGGACCTACTATTCAGACTCTGTGTTTCAACAAAACCCTCATGTTACTGAAAGCTCAGTTCTTGTCCCTGGTGCCAATCCAATCATGAGGACATGATTTTGAGAAAAAGGAAAAAGAAGTCTTATTGCTTTGCTAGCAAAGGAGAAGGCCAGGGCACTCCTGTCCCAGAGGCTGTGGTTCTTCTGTCCATCGGGGGAACAAGGGGTTTTAAGGAGGTGATTCAAAGGCTACCTTCCACGGGCTCTCTGGCTAGACTTGTACTTCCCTTGTTATCTTGTAAGGCAGTCATTCAAGTCTGAGAGACTTTTGTTCCTGGGGAGGGTGTGTGCTCCAGCACAGCCAGGATGGCCCAGGGAACCCAGACGTGTTAACACTGTCCATTTCATCTGCAAGGAAAACACGCTCTAAAAATTAGGGAGAGGCTGCCAGGCAAGGTGGTGCCTGCCCGTCCTCCCAGCAGCTCTGGAGGCAGAGACAAGAGGATCGCATGTTCAAAGCCAGCCTCAGCAACTTAGCAAGGCCCTAAGCAACTCAGCAAGATCCTGTCTCAAAATAACATATAAAAAAGGGCTGGGGATGCGGCTCATCCCTATATCAAAAAAAAAAAAAAAAGAAAGAAATTAGGAAATCAGGGAGGCTCTGTGTCTATGGCTGCAGGCAAATTTCCTACAGGTGCTCTACACCTGTGTTTCTTTCTCTTTTCCCTCTGCCCCCACCTGATCTACTCCAGCCGGCTTACCTTGCCAAGTCTTCCTCCACTCCACAAGCTCTTTGCTAATTTGCCACCAGTGGTGACTATGAGGAACCTATTTATCTATTTTTACATTTGTATGGTTCATTTCTAATAAAAATAGCTTAAGATCCTCTGCTGCTGGTGGGCTCCATTTTCATGATAAAGTGGCTGCCCTTCTAATAATAACTCCCTTCTTATGTCAAAAGGACCCCCTCTGGAGTCGGCTGATCCATCCAACCCTGCACAGACGGGTTGATCTTTTTTTGTTTTGTTTTCTGGTCCTGGAGATCAAACTCAGGTCCTTTGTAGATAAACTCTACCACTGACCCACATCCCCAGCCCCTGAACTGGTTAATCTTACTGGGAAGCAATACCTTCTTGTAAGTCGGAGAAGATAAAGCTAAAACAAATGCCGAGAATGTTTTATCTGATATAAGGAGGCTGATTCACAGTGGGGTCAGGAGAGGGAGCATGGGAGGAATAGATGAACTCTAGATAGGACAGAGGAGTGGGAGGGGAGGGGAGGGGAGGGGGCAGGGGGTTAGCAATGATGGTGGAATGGAGGCTGAGGCAGGAGGATCTTAGTGAGGCCCTATTATTATTATTATCCAAAGTCCACGTATGAAGACACGAATTGGTGTGAAGATACTTTGTACACAACCAGAGATATGAAAAATTGTGCACTATATGTGTAATAAGAATTGTAATGCATTCTACTGTCCTATATAAAAATTAATAAAATAAAAAATACCTTCCTGTATAAAATTCATTTTATTCACAAACAGAGTAGTATTGAGATAGGGATTTAGGATAGAGAGAAAAATACTGAATCTTAAAGGAAATACCCACAAGCCACAGCAATGCAGAAAGTACAGTGGTCCGCCCTGAGCAGAACACTCTTGACCTGTGTCCTTGGAAAATGAGGGAAATTACACAAGGGCAGGAAACTGGTGAGAAATTGTCCAGCTCCACCTGGCTCCACCTCCAGCCGGGCCCCTGACACAGCCCTTCTGCAGACATTGGACCCCCAGCCCAAGGCAGGGCCGCTTCTCACTCTCCGGACAGCCTGCGTCCTCCCTTGAATGTGTATCTTCTTTCCTAAATAAACCTCTGTCTGGCTCCTGCCAAGATTTTTTTCCATCCTGGATGCCAAGAACCCCCCTGGTCCTGAGTTCAGTTCCCCACCTCCTCCGGGAACTGCTTGGCCCCTCTCCAGAGACTTCGCCTCTCTGGGGACATCTCGAACTGGTTGGTCTTCCTCACCCCTTCACCCACGAGAAAACAGAAAAAGCCAAAGTACTAGAACTGGGTGCCATTCTACAACTGCCAAAACACACTATTTTTGTTTAGATTTTAAACAAAAAGAAACCACTTTAAATAAACAAAAGTAAACCAGGGTGGCAAATCACACCTGAGAAACACAAATCTTCTCTGGAAACTACAGGCCTCGACTAATTACCAGAAAATGATTTCCAAGGAATATGAGCTCCCAACAAACATATCTCAGAAAACAACCTATAAGCATAAAGCTAGAAACCCTGAATACTATTCTTTTTTGGGCAGGGGCAGGGTGGGGGGTGGGGGTGGGTGTCGGTTACTGGAGATTGAACTCAGGGGCACTCGGTCCCTGAGCCACAGCCCCACTGAGCCGTAGCCCCAGCCCTATTTAGAGACAGAGTCTCGCTGAGTTTCTTAGCGCCTTGCTTTTGCTGAGGCTGGCTTTGAACTCCTGGCCTCAGCCTCCAGAGCCTCTGGGATTACAGGCATGTTCCACCTTGCCCGGCCTGAATAATATTCTTTTAATGAAAA